ATGGTGGCCACACAAAATATTGACACTTTGGGCCCAATTTGGACATTTTCACTTAGGGGTGTACTCACTTTTGTGGCCAGCGGTTTAGACATTAATGGCTGTGTGTTGAGTTATTTTGAGGGGACAGCAAATTTACACAGTTATACAAGCTGTACACTCACTACTTTACATTGTAGCAAAGTGTAATTTCTTCAGTGTTGTCACATGAAAAGATATAATAAAATACTCACTTCTGTGAGATACTGTATATATTAATGTATATCTAAAGTGAACTGACTATCTTCAGAAAAGCAGTGACGCCACTTTTTTTTCATCTTACCATCTCGTCTCACCACAGGGAGTGCACTAGTCACGTAAATGTTGTATTCATAACCGCACCAGAATTTCGATTAAAACATAGTATAAAGTTTACTTGTTTAGACTGGCAGAAGACTAAATACATTAAATGTGTGTCCTGTCAAAAGCGGGAGTACTGCGGATCTGGCAACCCTGGTCCTAAAGAGTCACCACTCGTACAGTGGAATCCGTCCGTCTGTCTGGTATTTTCTTTTAGGTAATATTTTGATATTTAATGCAATGAAAATGCCAGAAGTGCGGCTTAAGTGCCTAAAACTGATCAAATACACAGGAACTGAAAATCACTGCCATTTCTTTTTATTTCTAGATACACAAAGACCATCTGAACTTGCATAGTATAGTATTTAATTTCACATTAAAGCAGTCAAGCATGCTTATGTTGTTGAGGCTCATAGTTTTAACAGCTGGTGTGTTTTATGCTTGGCTTCTTAGGTTATCTATTAATGGTTCTCATACTCCAGAATTAACCTGATGGCTTCCAATGTCTTTGTGGTGATGCTGAAGGGAGATAAGAGTGCTGCAGACCTTGAAGAAGCATTTTTAGCACTTTGGCTTCCATTGTCCTGAATTCAGCGGGTTTGATTTAAATGCCTGTAATGAGGTCTGTGTTTAACACAAGTTCAAAATATTTTTACATTTTATTCTACATCCTTGTGATTTTCTTTTTATTTGATTTTTTTACTCGTCTTAAAAAGGCAGTTGCTAACAACTGTCCAAATGGAACTACAATTAAACATTAAATGTGACTCATCATCTTATCTACTCAATTTTACAGTCTAATTGTGTTAATAATCAAATCTATTCTAACTCAGACATTCAGGGAAAATGTTTTTGAATAAAGAATGAAAGCTGATGAACTTAATGGTAGTGATGTTGAAGTCATGTGACTAGCCTAAGTTTTCAAAATAGATAAAAGTTGTTCATTTGTGAAGATTATCTTGATGAATGAAATGTGTAAGAATAATAAACCTTTGTTAGTTACAGAGCTTATTTTCTACAATAATCCAAAAGCCAATGAAAAATGTAACTTTTGGGTTGCCCTAAAAGCATATCTTCACTGCAGCAATCAATTGCTTTCTTGTTAATTCTGTGGATTTTACACTATCATTATGGGCTTTGATCTTTTAGTCATAGTTGCTTTTGGAACGAGAATAAAGACAGCAGTCTGGAAGTATTCCAGCTTCATAGTCTGTGGACATCTGACTAAATGGGTGATGCTATATCCTATAATGTGAGCCCTGAATAGTTATATTTCATGTCTTCTTGCATCCATAAAATGCGCTGGACACATCTGAATATTTGGGTTGAAGGGTCCTTGAACAGTGTTGTAAATACAACTTAACCACTAATTTGTAGTCGTGTCCTCTTTTGGAAGACCAAACAAAAGTAGTTTCGCTTTCACAACGAAAAACACAGCGGCCAAGCTGAGGTCGGGATAGAGTGAGCTAAGGCCGGGCTAGCGTGAGCCGAAGCCCCGGCTTAGCGTGCGCTGAAGCCGGGATAGAGTGAGCTGAGGCGGCGTGGTCGAGAACGGCGTGCCCGGCGGATGCTACGAATGAGCGGCAACCACATGCGACGGCAACCCTGGGCTGGACTCCGCTTCGTCCACGGTGAAAGTTGATGTATTCCCTCAGCGACCAGCACAGATCAGTTCTAGGCATGACGAAGCGGATATCGTCCTCTTTTGGAAGACCAAACAAAGTAGTTTCGCTTTCACAACGAAGCACACAGCGCCTTCACGACATGGCTGCAGCGTCAGCAATACTACAGCGAGAATAAAAGTTACGCCTTCTTTCTTTGCGTGAACATTTGGGTGGCATTATGCAAATCTTCCCACATAGTGAGGTAGATATGTGGGGGCGTGTTAGAACGAGCCGTTTTAGGTAGGTGTGGCTGACTCTGAACTTTTATAAAGAATATCTCTTTGGATTTGAGACTTTAGTCTTTGCAACTTTACAGATCTTCTTTATGCACCAAGAGCTTGTAACACTCCAAAGAGAAAGGAAAAATTTTTATCGCATCATCAGCTAATTAATGTTAGCTGGTCATTTTGTGTCAGGATAAAAAAACAGTGAAATTTTGCTTTTTTGTGAAAAGTTTTTTTTTTTGGCCAATAAAGCTTTTAGTAATTATTTAGAATGATCGCATACACAATAATACAGAAACAATGTGAATGAACACCACAACAGCTTAAGCAGCGAACTTTGCAAAACACAAAATGTATGTCACTGCCAAAACTTTTGGCCATGACTGTAGTATTGTGGTGTCATAATAAGCTTAGGCTATTTATTAGAAAACAAAATAACATAGATGAAAAAACAAATCATTTATTTTATTTATTTTTTTGTGGTAGGGCCAGCTTTAGAATGTGCAGAACAGACATGTGATTTGGCTCTTTTGACACAGGCTGTCTATTCAGGCTTTCTCAAGCCAACATAAAAATGTAGCCTCTAATCTACCATCTAAAATGTGTTGTGAACAAATTCTCACACTTTACAGAGAACTATAGAGGAATCATGCCTTCAGTTCCATCCAACAAAGAGAAGGACAGTCCTGCCTGCCCTTTTGATGACAAGAAGACCACTGGCAGGAATGGTGTTGAGAAGTTGGTTTCAGATAATGTAGACAGACCCCTGCAGCTGAATAGAGAAACTGGGGCCACTGACCCAAAATGGATTCGTCCTGACCTGCCAAGCAGATGTACCTGGAAACCAGGAATGTCTCTTGAAAATTCCCCTCACAAACACTTCCCCAGGTGATAATGCTTAATGATCTCTCCCTTTGCATTTCTGACCTAAAATCCCAAGATATTTTAAATCAAGTGACACGGACACATGCTTGGAGAGCTGGGCCTACCAAAAAAGCATGTCTGTGTCTTTCTCAGGAATATTTCCTTATTTGGAAACTTATCAGCAAGATAAACATGTTTCACAATCATTGATTGGCTGTAATGGACTTTGCTGTATTCAATCAACAATATATTTGTTACAGAAAAAGATATATAACATTAATTTAACAAAAGGAATATTTCCTTTTTAGGTTTTAGAATGTTCACACAGTTAAGCAGATGCATTTTTGTGTATGCATTCATAAGTGCACATGACTTATTTTTAAATGATATATAGAATTGTATCATTATTTTAAACATAGTGGGGTTTTAAAAAATATTTTATTTTGTTTAGTGACAGTCTAATCCTTTATATTCACAGGTTCTAGATGGTAAAGTCACCATGAAATAAAAAGACAATTCTTATTTTTATGAATATTAGTTAATATATTTGAAGATATTTTTTGGAGTATTGCAGTGTTAATTATAAATTATTTATACTATGAATATCTTTATTTAAAAAATCATGTGCCCTTGTAATCTTTAAACAAAATAACTTCCCTTTCGTCTTGCAACAACATCTCTTCTCTTCTCTGATAATGTATTCACTGCTGTGAGGACGGGACAAAAGGTGTGACGCTCATGACTACGCAGCAATAACAAACAAAAACGCATCAAATGATCCAATCAATTCCTATATATTATTTTTTTTAATTTACACTGTCACAAAATGACTTTTCTAACTATATAACTATAATTGTAACTATAGCTTTCTGTCCCCACAATATCCTTTTATGATTGTTTATTTTTTCTTCCTTTAGCCATTGCAGGACAAAAGCTGAGAAGATTTTGCCCAACATCCTGGACAGGATTGGAGACACACCACTGGTCCGCATAAACAAGATCTCGAAGACTTTTGGACTAAAGTGTGAACTTTGTAAGTGATTAATTCATATTTCTACTTTTGAACAATTCTAAATCAGTTACTTAAAAAGTCAATATCGTTTTACCACAGAAAGTGTGTTACAAATAAGAAACTTCCTTAAAAGACAAAATAAATCTTTGAAAGACAAAGCAAGTATTGACCTTGAGTCCTTTAATGTTATATACAAATCTATGAAATAGGTAAAAGGCATTAATATAAATTGCCTCAAGTTACGTAACAGTCAGTTTTGTTTGTATGTGTGTCTGCAGTGGTCAAGTGCGAGTTCTTTAATGCTGGTGGTAGTGTAAAGGACCGTATCAGTCTGCGTATGGTGGAGGACGCAGAAAGGGAAGGCATTCTCAAACCTGGAGACACCATTATAGAGCCCACCTCTGGAAATACAGGTAATAATCACACAGGACTCTGATTTTGTTGAGACTCCGTCTTACCTGTTTTCTACATTCTTATTACATTGTTCGTTGTTACAGTGTGTTTGTTCTTAAAATCTTCAACACTAGTTCACATACTGCATATGTTTAAAATCCATTTCTTAAATATGGTTAGAAAAGTGCATTGTAGTGGTCATTTTTACAATGGAGGAAAGCAAATATCAAGTGGGTAAAATAATTTTTGCCCAGTGGAAAAACATTTAGGTCTAAAGGGTTAAGTTATGTGCACTCTATGCAGGTATTGGTCTTGCATTGGCTGCAGCAGTGAAGGGTTATCGCTGCATAATTGTTATGCCTGAGAAAATGAGCATGGAAAAGGTAAGATTCATTCCAGTTAGATCAAATGGGATTTGTTAACCCATCAAGAAGGTTAAACAAGAGTCTCTTCATAGGTTGATGTTTTGAGAGCTTTGGGTGCTGAGATTGTCCGAACTCCCACCAGTGCACGGTTTGACTCCCCTGAGTCCCATGTGGGTGTGGCTTGGCGCTTGAAGAATGAGATTCCTAACTCACACATCCTGGACCAGTACCGCAATCCCAGCAACCCCCTGGCTCATTATGACACCACTGCTGAGGAGATTCTGGAGCAATGTGATGGTAGTAATTGTGTTGTTTCTCTGTCTTTGTTGTCATATCTTTTTCTGCTTTTTATCATCAAAGCATAGCTTCCGTTTGCTCCAGCTTGAAGGCTTTTTGTTGTCAGTAGCATTAAAGGAATAGTTGACCCAAAAATTTTAATTGGCTGAAAATGCACTTACCCTCAGGCCATCTAAGATAGAGTTTTTCTTCATGGGAACAGATTGGGAGAAATTTAGCATTACGTCACATGCTCACCAATAGATCATCTGCAGTGAATGGGTGCAGTCAGAATGAGAGTTAAAACATCTAATTAAAACAATACTGTAACAAATGTTCAAGAGGGTAGAAGGAAGAAGACAGGGTCGGCTTGCTGGGACGCGAGCTTTATTTAAATTCCTTCCCGCACTGTACACACCACGGCGCTCACTCAGCGCGGTAAGATTCACAGTCAATAACTCATAACAAACAGAATGCAACTGGCTTCCGTGTATCTACACCCGTCTTCCCGGGTCGCTCGCGTACCCAGACTGTCTCTCCCCATCCTGTTCCAGGTGGCCTCTTTTATCCGGTCTCTCCACACCAATTACTGAAACAAGACACAGGTGTTTATCGTTTGCACTTGACCCACTTACGCACCGCTCGTCTCCTGCCTCTCTCTCCCGATGCAGGCCTCGCTGAACCCCGCCCCTCCTGCCACATACCCCCACCGCCCGACTCAGGCCGGGGAGCCCTCCGGCCTGCAGCCCCCCCCATTCCGGGAGAGGAAGTCCGCTACTACCATATGTACCCCCGGCCTGTGGATCACCTTGAACTTGAAGGGTTGTAAGGCTAGATACCAACGGGTGATCCGCGCGTTGGTATCCTTCATGCGGTGGAGCCACTGCAGGGGCGCGTGGTCCGAGCAGAGGGTGAACTCCCGTCCCAGGAGATAATAACGGAGGGTGAGGACGGCCCATCTGATTGCCAGACATTCCTTCTCAATGGTGCTGTACATCGTCTCCCTCTTTGAGAGCTTCCGACTGATGTACAGCCCCGGCCGTTCCTCCCCCTCTATCTCCTGGGACAGGACCGCTCCCAGCCCCCTGTCCGACGCGTCGGTCTGCAACACAGGCCTCCCCGCCACCCTAGCGGCAGGAAGTGGGTCAAGGAATTGGTGTGGAGAGAGCGGCGGAACGGGAGCTGCGGCCGGGCTGCCGCCTGTGGAACCGGACCCTCTGGACAGCGCCCTCAGGGCGGCTGAGGGCTCCGTCCCTGGACCACCCCTCCAGCGGGGGGGGGCCCGGGGGGGAAGGCTTCCTCGGGACCTGGGGAAAGGGACAGGTTTAGAGGGAGGGGGCACAGGTCTGGTCTCTCCACACCAATTACTGAAACAAGACACAGGTGTTTATCGTTTGCACTTGACCCACTTACGCACCGCTCGTCTCCTGCCTCTCTCTCCCGATGCAGGCCTCGCTGACCCCCGCCCCTCCTGCCACAAATACAATAATACACATGACTCCAGTCCATAAAGTAAAGTCTTATGAAGTGAAAAGAAGGAATACAAATTTATTTAACTTTAAACCATTGCTTCCAGTTAAAATACAAGTCCATAATCCATAATAATGCTTACTCCAGTGAAATAGTCCTCTCACATCAAAATCCACCCACATATTTGTTTAAAACTGTTTTGGACTATTTTCACTTGAAACGGTGCTTGATCTGTGCTCTCTTGATTCTTGAGATAAATTTCACTGGAGAAAGCCATATTATGGATAGAGGACTCCATCTAGCCAAAAGCAATGTTAAATATTAAAAGCAAATCTTAATGATGGTTTGGTTAATACTTTTCCTGCAAACAAGCCTGCACTGGCCCTTTACGGGCCCACTTAGGCTAGCCCAAGGGCCCCCAGCGGGCTGCCAGCTCAGGGCCTCTGAGATTTTGCTCATTGGCAAAACGTTGGCCCCTTAGCGCTGGCCCTGCACGGGCAGCCCTCACTTAGCCCTCAGTAGGCCCGCACTATTAATCTGCAACAGGAGTGCCCAACCCTGGTCCTGGAGATCTACCTTCCTGCAGAGTTCAGTTCCAGCTCTGATCAAACACACCTGTCTGTAATTATCAAGTGCTCCTTCAGATCCTAATTAGTTGGTTCAGTTGCGTTCGATCAGGGTTGGAGCTGAACTCTGCAGGAAGGTAGATCTCCTGGAACAGGGTTGGGCACCCTGGCCTATATTGTCAAAAATGTACAGTAGTCAAAGGGATTTCAAATCAATGGATTTATTAAATACAAAATAGAAAACATTCAATTCAGGTTAATACAGCTATATATAGCCAAAAATGTAAATACACAACAAACAAAAGAAGGCAAACAAAGCAATGTATGATTTCATCATGTGAAAGTTGATGTGTGTGAAAGTCTTATCTGTAGTACATCAATGTCCAAACACTGTCCATAGCTGAAGTTGGCTGATAGTAAATTAATAATCCAACCTCTTGTAATGAAAACACACCACGGCTCTCAAACACCAGACTCTTCCTAACCAGGAACAGTCAAAAATAGTCCAGACTATGGGTCTCACGTCGAAAAGAACTTTAAATCCATATTTCCATAAATCCAAATCCACAAACTGGACCGTGATGTGTTAACCTCACCAATAAAGAGTCCTTCTAAAATGCATACAGATACACTGTCTTAAACTCTTAGCATCAATCCAAACATAGGCCGTACATACATGTAACAAAAAACATCAGCAATGTAAACTTAAAAAAAAAAATCCTTACTTTAGACTGGGCTTGAAATTACACATTTCCCAACCAGGACACAGCAGAATGTTTTCAGCAGGTGAGCCATGCTAACTACTGCTGCTTGTTATTGCTAACTCCCTCTACCCACCTGGCTTTACTTAAGGAAGCCTAAAACACCCTAGCACCCCTAGTGGTAAGGAAGAAAACTGCCCACAAAATTCTTATTAACAGGCTCATGCCTGTTACACCTCAAATATGGCTCATGAGATCCATTTTCCTGCAGAGTTTAGCTCCAACCTTCATCAATCTCACCCACCTGTGATTTTTTAATGATCCTGGAGACATGCTCAGGTGTGTTTGATTAGGGTTAGAACTAAACTCTGCAGGCAAGTGGATCTTGTGAGCCAGATTTGAGGATCCCTGGCCTATATGAAACAACAGGTTCTGAAAAGGCCTCTTCTGGTTTGAGCCATTCCAGTTCAAATGAGAGGCTAAAGAATGGCCAGTCAATGTTGTTTCTATTCTCCTAGTTGCATTACAGGGCTGCCTACACAAAATCTGCATGGGCCCAAAGGTACAAAAGTTGCTCTGGGCCTGAACGGGCTTGCCCACACTGGGCCATCATTGGATTAATGTGGGCAGTCCCATAGTGTGGCCTGCTCACAGAGAGCCTGTGGTGAGCCCAAAGCTGTGGGCCTCCCCTGGGCAAGCCCGCACTGGGCCTGTTTAAGTTTGGTGTGGGCTGGCCCTTGCCCACTGTGCCCGCAAAAAGCCAGCATGGGCCCCGCAGGGACATGTTTGTAGGGTTGTAATAAATTTATTAATTCATTAACAAACTTTATATAATGTCTAACAGATCGGTTATATAATATCAGATAATTATATAATGTTTAACAGATTAGTTAAAATATATTTATTAAGCTACAAGTATGGGAACATTTCACAATGATTAACAAATCCTTAATTCATATAAATTTTAAATCGAAATAAACTTTCAATTCATATATGATCACGCACAAATACAATACAAATGATTTAAGTTATACACTGATAAACAGCTTATTTATTAATGAGCATTTGAATGCTTACAAATGCCATTAAACTGGTTGTTTAAACTTATTAATATGTTAACCAATGCACTTTTTTTACATTTACAAATGTCATAAAAATGTTACTCATTCACGCATTCATCGCAGAGGATCCACTGGTGAGCAAGTAATCCTAAATTTCTCCAAATCTGTTCCCTTGAAGAACTGAACTCATCTATATCTTGGATGGCCTGAGGGTGAAGAGATGTTTAGTAAATTTTTATTTTTGGGTGAACTATTCTTTTAACTCTCAACTTACCACAGGTAAAGTGGATATGCTGGTGGCAGGAGCCGGCACAGGGGGCACTATTACCGGCATTGCTCGCAAACTGAAGGAGAAATGCCCAAATATTAAGGTAGACACTGATTGTCCCTGAGATCTGATGCACAGCAATTTTGTGAAATTTGCCTGTTTTGTAACAAACAGAGTACCACTTCAAATGTCAGCCAGAAATATAACTGGAAGAGTAAACCACATAATGTTAAATTGAGATAAAATCATATAAATTGCAGTTGTATAAGTCACTCAGAAATTAAGTAACCAGGCATTACTGAATATACAGTGCCTTGCGGAAATATTCATACCCCTTCATTTTTTTCATATTTTAAGTTGCTGCCTTATGCTAAACTGCTTTAAATTACTTTTTTCCCCACATCAATCTACACTCCATACACCATAATGGTAAAGCAAAAAAACAGGTTTTTAACATCTTTTGCAAATTTATTAAAAATAAAAAACTTAAATGATTCCATTGCATAAGTATTCATACCCTTATCTGGGACAGTTGAAATTGAGCTCTGGAGCATTCAAATTGCTTGTAGATGTTACTACACTTCGAGTGAAGTTAACCTGTGGCAAATTCAATTGAATGGGCACACACATCTTAATAAAAGGTCTAACAGCTGATAATGCATATCAAAGCAAAAACCAAGCCCTGAGGTCAAAAGAACTGCCTGTAGAGCTCAGAAACAGGTTTGCATCAAGCCACACATCTGGGGAAGAGTTCAGAAAAAAATTCTGCTTCATTGAAGGTTCATAGAAGCATGTAGTCTCTGTTACCCTTAATGGAAAAAGTTTGAAACAACCAGGACTCTTCCTAGAGCTGGCCTCCCAACAGACCATGATGGTCACTCTAGTTGAGCTCCATGATCATATATGCAGATGGGAGAAATCTACAGAAGGACAAATATCACTGCAACACTCCACCGATCTGGGCTTTATGTCGGAGTGGCCAGACTCAATCATCTCCTCAGTGAAGACACATGAAAACACATTTGGAATTTGAAAAAAGCACCCAAAAGACCCTCAGACTGTGAGAAACAATATTATCTGGTCTGATGAACCTAAATTCCAAGCATCATGTTTGAAGGAAACCAGGCAATGCTCATCACCTGCAGAGTACCATCCCAAAAGTAAAGTGTGCTGGTAGCAGCCTCATGCTGAGGGGCTGTTTTTCAGCGGCAGGGACTAAGGGACTCAACAGAGTAGAAGAAAAGCTCAATGCACCAAAATATTGAGATAGTCCAGAGCATTCAGAACCTCAGACTGGGCAAAAGGTTCACCTTCCAACAGGACAATGACCCTAAGCACACAGCAAGAGTCAATTATAGACAACTCTGTGAATGTCCTTGAGTGGCCCAGCCACAGCCTGAGCTTGAACCCAATCTAATATTTCTGGAGAAACCTAAAAATGTGCATCTGCCCCCATCCAACCTGACAGAGCTTGAGAGGAGAAGAGGTGAGAAGAAGAATGGCAGATAAAGCTTTATTTAAATTCCTTCCCGCACTGTACACACCACGGCGCTCACTCAGCGCGGTAAGATTCACAGTCAATAACTCATAACAAACAGAATGCAACTGGCTTCCGTGTATCTACACCCGTCTTCCCGAGTCGCTCGCGTACCCAGACTGTCTCTCCCCATCCTGTTCCAGGTGGCCTCTTTTATCCGGTCTCTCCACACCAATTACTGAAACAAGACACAGGTGTTTATTGTTTGCACTTGACCCACTTACGCACCGCTCGTCTCCTGCCTCTCTCTCCCGATGCAGGCCTCGCTGAACCCCGCCCCTCCTGCCACAAATACAATAATACACATGACTCCAGTCCATAAAGTAAAGTCTTATGAAGTGAAAAGAAGGAATACAAATTTATTTAACTTTAAACCATTGCTTCCAGTTAAAATACAAGTCCATAATCCATAATAATGCTTACTCCAGTGAAATAGTCCTCTCACATCAAAATCCACCCACATATTTGTTTAAAACTGTTTTGGACTATTTTCACTTGAAACGGTGCTTGATCTGTGCTCTCTTGATTCTTGAGATAAATATTTCACTGGAGAAAGCCATATTATGGATAGAGGACTCCATCTAGCCAAAAGCAATGTTAAATATTAAAAGCAAATCTTAATGATGGTTTGGTTAATACTTTTCCTGCAAACAAGCCTGCACTGGCCCTTTACGGGCCCACTTAGGCTAGCCCAAGGGCCCCCAGCGGGCTGCCAGCTCAGGGCCTCTGAGATTTTGCTCATTGGCAAAACGTTGGCCCCTTAGCGCTGGCCCTGCACGGGCAGCCCTCACTTAGCCCTCAGTAGGCCCGCACTATTAATCTGCAACAGGAGTGCCCAACCCTGGTCCTGGAGATCTACCTTCCTGCAGAGTTCAGTTCCAGCTCTGATCAAACACACCTGTCTGTAATTATCAAGTGCTCCTTCAGATCCTAATTAGTTGGTTCAGTTGCGTTCGATCAGGGTTGGAGCTGAACTCTGCAGGAAGGTAGATCTCCTGGAACAGGGTTGGGCACCCTGGCCTATATTGTCAAAAATGTACAGTAGTCAAAGGGATTTCAAATCAATGGATTTATTAAATACAAAATAGAAAACATTCAATTCAGGTTAATACAGCTATATATAGCCAAAAATGTAAATACACAACAAACAAAAGAAGGCAAACAAAGCAATGTATGATTTCATCATGTGAAAGTTGATGTGTGTGAAAGTCTTATCTGTAGTACATCAATGTCCAAACACTGTCCATAGCTGAAGTTGGCTGATAGTAAATTAATAATCCAACCTCTTGTAATGAAAACACACCACGGCTCTCAAACACCAGACTCTTCCTAACCAGGAACAGTCAAAAATAGTCCAGACTATGGGTCTCACGTCGAAAAGAACTTTAAATCCATATTTCCATAAATCCAAATCCACAAACTGGACCGTGATGTGTTAACCTCACCAATAAAGAGTCCTTCTAAAATGCATACAGATACACTGTCTTAAACTCTTAGCATCAATCCAAACATAGGCCGTACATACATGTAACAAAAAACATCAGCAATGTAAACTTAAAAAAAAAAATCCTTACTTTAGACTGGGCTTGAAATTACACATTTCCCAACCAGGACACAGCAGAATGTTTTCAGCAGGTGAGCCATGCTAACTACTGCTGCTTGTTATTGCTAACTCCCTCTACCCACCTGGCTTTACTTAAGGAAGCCTAAAACACCCTAGCACCCCTAGTGGTAAGGAAGAAAACTGCCCACAAAATTCTTATTAACAGGCTCATGCCTGTTACACCTCAAATATGGCTCATGAGATCCATTTTCCTGCAGAGTTTAGCTCCAACCTTCATCAAACTCACCCACCTGTGATTTTTTAATGATCCTGGAGACATGCTCAGGTGTGTTTGATTAGGGTTAGAACTAAACTCTGCAGGCAAGTGGATCTTGTGAGCCAGATTTGAGGATCCCTGGCCTATATGAAACAACAGGTTCTGAAAAGGCCTCTTCTGGTTTGAGCCATTCCAGTTCAAATGAGAGGCTAAAGAATGGCCAGTCAATGTTGTTTCTATTCTCCTAGTTGCATTACAGGGCTGCCTACACAAAATCTGCATGGGCCCAAAGGTACAAAAGTTGCTCTGGGCCTGAACGGGCTTGCCCACACTGGGCCATCATTGGATTAATGTGGGCAGTCCCATAGTGTGGCCTGCTCACAGAGAGCCTGTGGTGAGCCCAAAGCTGTGGGCCTCCCCTGGGCAAGCCCGCACTGGGCCTGTTTAAGTTTGGTGTGGGCTGGCCCTTGCCCACTGTGCCCGCAAAAAGCCAGCATGGGCCCCGCAGGGACATGTTTGTAGGGTTGTAATAAATTTATTAATTCATTAACAAACTTTATATAATGTCTAACAGATCGGTTATATAATATCAGATAATTATATAATGTTTAACAGATTAGTTAAAATATATTTATTAAGCTACAAGTATGGGAACATTTCACAATGATTAACAAATCCTTAATTCATATAAATTTTAAATCGAAATAAACTTTAAATTCATATATGATCACGCACAAATACAATACAAATGATTTAAGTTATACACTGATAAACAGCTTATTTATTAATGAGCATTTGAATGCTTACAAATGCCATTAAACTGGTTGTTTAAACTTATTAATATGTTAACCAATGCACTTTTTTTACATTTACAAATGTCATAAAAATGTTACTCATTCACGCATTCATCGCAGAGGATCCACTGGTGAGCAAGTAATCCTAAATTTCTCCAAATCTGTTCCCTTGAAGAACTGAACTCATCTATATCTTGGATGGCCTGAGGGTGAAGAGATGTTTAGTAAATTTTTATTTTTGGGTGAACTATTCTTTTAACTCTCAACTTACCACAGGTAAAGTGGATATGCTGGTGGCAGGAGCCGGCACAGGGGGCACTATTACCGGCATTGCTCGCAAACTGAAGGAGAAATGCCCAAATATTAAGGTAGACACTGATTGTCCCTGAGATCTGATGCACAGCAATTTTGTGAAATTTGCCTGTTTTGTAACAAACAGAGTACCACTTCAAATGTCAGCCAGAAATATAACTGGAAGAGTAAACCACATAATGTTAAATTGAGATAAAATCATATAAATTGCAGTTGTATAAGTCACTCAGAAATTAAGTAACCAGGCATTACTGAATATACAGTGCCTTGCGGAAATATTCATACCCCTTCATTTTTTTCATATTTTAAGTTGCTGCCTTATGCTAAACTGCTTTAAATTACTTTTTTCCCCACATCAATCTACACTCCATACACCATAATGGTAAAGCAAAAAAACAGGTTTTTAACATCTTTTGCGAATTTATTAAAGATAAAAAACTTAAATGATTCCATTGCATAAGTATTCATACCCTTATCTGGGACAGTTGAAATTGAGCTCTGGAGCATTCAAATTGCTTGTAGATGTTACTACACTTCGAGTGAAGTTAACCTGTGGCAAATTCAATTGAATGGGCACACACATCTTAATAAAAGGTCTAACAGCTGATAATGCATATCAAAGCAAAAACCAAGCCCTGAGGTCAAAAGAACTGCCTGTAGAGCTCAGAAACAGGTTTGCATCAAGCCACACATCTGGGGAAGAGTTCAGAAAAAAATTCTGCTTCATTGAAGGTTCATAGAAGCATGTAGTCTCTGTTACCCTTAATGGAAAAAGTTTGAAACAACCAGGACTCTTCCTAGAGCTGGCCTCCCAACAGACCATGATGGTCACTCTAGTTGAGCTCCATGATCATATATGCAGATGGGAGAAATCTACAGAAGGACAAATATCACTGCAACACTCCACCGATCTGGGCTTTATGTCGGAGTGGCCAGACTCAATCATCTCCTCAGTGAAGACACATGAAAACACATTTGGAATTTGAAAAAAGCACCCAAAAGACCCTCAGACTGTGAGAAACAATATTATCTGGTCTGATGAACCTAAATTCCAAGCATCATGTTTGAAGGAAACCAGGCAATGCTCATCACCTGCAGAGTACCATCCCAAAAGTAAAGTGTGCTGGTAGCAGCCTCATGCTGAGGGGCTGTTTTTCAGCGGCAGGGACTAAGGGACTCAACAGAGTAGAAGAAAAGCTCAATGCACCAAAATATTGAGATAGTCCAGAGCATTCAGAACCTCAGACTGGGCAGAAGGTTCACCTTCCAACAGGACAATGACCCTAAGCACACAGCAAGAGTCAATTATAGACAACTCTGTGAATGTCCTTGAGTGGCCCAGCCACAGCCTGAGCTTGAACCCAATCTAATATTTCTGGAGAAACCTAAAAATGTGCATCTGCCCCCATCCAACCTGACAGAGCTTGAGAGGAGAAGAGGTGAGAAGAAGAATGGCAGATAATTGCCAAATGATGATGATCAAAGCTTGTCGCATTAAACAAAAAAGACTTGGAAAAGTAAAGGTGCTTCAGCGAATGTACTTATTTCAGTTTTTTTATTTTTAATAAATTTACGAAGTTGTGACAATTCTGTTTTTGCTTTGTCAGTATGGTGTATGGAGTGTAGATTGATGTGGAAAAAAAGTAATTTAAAGCAGTTTAACATAAGGCAGCAACATAACAAAATGTGAAAAAAATGAATGGGGTATGAATACCTTCACAAGGCACTGTAAGTCTAGACTCATCTGAAGTGTGTCTGTGTTTTGGTAGATTGTTGCGGTGGACCCAGAGGGCTCGATCCTCGCTGAGCCTGATGAGCTGAACCGGACTGATAAAACCCAGTATGAGGTGGAGGGCATCGGATATGACTTTATACCCACCGTCCTGGATAGATCTGTGAGTGACTCTACATAAGTGTAGGTTTGAATACAAGTCTAATGTCCTTTATGAATTGTATATGATAGGGCTCTTCAGCATTTGAACATTACTTTTCTAAAAATGATATATGGATAATCAAGGAAACCTAAGTTGCTTCAGTCCAGTAAGTGTTCATCCTGAAATTGTATGAACAATATCAAAGTTATTCTCACATGTACGTTTGTACAATTTGACTAAAAAGGCCTTTTACTTGCTAACAAAGTATAATCTAGCAATCAGACGACTGAAAGCATGTAGTAGATTGTGCGCAAGAGGTTTTTCAGTAAAGTTTGATCATTTCGAGGATTTAGAAATGTGTGTATCAAATGTGATAATGTAGGCTAAAAAAGGTTAAAAGTATATTTTTCTATTCTAAAATAAATGTAATGTTTTATGTTGACGTTGTTTGCAGTAAAAGTGCTAAGGTCAAATATACTCAACTCTCATATTCATCTGAATAATTTGACCCCTGAAAGGAAGAGTCCTGCTTTTTGGTACCCACGTGTTTGTTGCAATAGTCTACTCACTGGTTTTGCTATTCTGTTCTTTACCAGAAGATGACAGTAGAAGTAAAGTTTTGGCTTACAGTGTTCTACTGTTGAGAGACAGCAGGCAGTTCATGTACAAATCACACACATTGTGTTTTTATTTCAGTTGGTTGACAACTGGTACAAATCCAACGATGAGGAATCTTTTGCCATTGCCCGAATGCTTATAAGAGATGAAGGGCTGTTGTGTGGTAAGCACATTATCCTTTCTTAACATGCACCCTAATGTCACACATTTGACAGCATCTTAAATTGGGGCTTAATGTCTATGAAAAGTAATGTCATGATTGTAGTAGATTTGTTTGTATATACCGCATTTTTTATGTTCTCTGTTGTCAGGTGGGAGCTCGGGCACTGCCATGGCGGCTGCAGTAAAGTTTGCTAAAGAGCTGAAGGAGGGACAGCGCTGTGTCGTGATTCTGCCAGACTCTATTCGCAACTACATGTAAGGAAAATCAGAGAGATGCACAAGAATTGGCTTAAAATATATTCTCACCCTTGACTGGCTTTTTTCCACAAAGTCAACTAGCTTCACAAAAGCTTGGCTCAGTCTGAAGCAATGGATGTTAATCATCATTTTGTATTTAAAATTTACTCTACAGGTCCAAGTTCTTGAGTGAAAAGTGGATGTTCCAGAAGGGCTTTCTGAGGGTGGAAGACATCATGGTGAATAAACCCTGGTGAGCAGATGATCATTTTGTCACTTAAGATTTAGTGTGTATATGTGAGACTGGGACTATTTGTCGCATTTTATTGGTAATTTATTTATTAGGGTACATTTATTTTTAGAAGTAAATTTCTATGTAGGTATATAACTAAAGATGACATAAGACAACATAACAGGACATGTTGTCCCACTGTACACTCTTAAAAATAAAGGTTTGATATTGGCATTGATGGTTCTATGAATAACCTATAACATCCATACACTAGTCCATCCATATATTATTTTATTTTTATGCCAACACTGTGAAAAAACCCTTTTGAAATTTTTAAGCGTGTATGGGGTAAGTTGTCACAGTGCAACCTGTCATTTTATAAGCTGTCCAGCTAAATTTAAACAGTAAAACAATTAAAACTGCAAAACAATTAATGTAACAGCACATTTAAGATGTATTCTAAAAATGTCAAACCATTATTTTGGGTGGCAAATGTTAAAATTAATTAATGTTAAACATTTTAAATACAATTTAAATCATGACCCGCAAATATGAAAAATACTCTTGTCCTATGAACAAATTTTCATTATATAGTTGACACATATCTGAGGTTTTATTTTTATTTTTTATTTATTATTATAATATAGGCCTAGATTTTTATTATTAATTAATAATATTTTATATCTAAAAAATAATTTCAGTTAAAAGTTTTTTAAACTAGGTGTTTGAAACAACTCTATAGAAAATACTCTTATATACACACTTATATAAAAGTTCAAATAGGAAAATGTATTTGTACGTTTTCCTATTTGAACTTTTCACGCATACTGTGAATATGACAAATTCTCAGTGTGAAAGCTAGCCCCATTTTCCTTATATTAAATATATACTCCATTTATGAACATTAATACAATGTCTAGGTATTTAGAACCTAGTCATCATCTCGTTTTCCGTCCTGTGTTTATTCTTTTTTAATTCTCCCTTCATTAAATTTCTTCCAGGTGGTGGAATCTGAAATTACAGAGTCTAAACCTTTCTGCTCCACTAACTGTGCTGCCCACAGTCACATGCCAAAAAACCATCAAAATCTTGAAAGAAAAGGGCTTTGACCAGGCACCTGTCGTAGATGAAGCTGGGTGAGCAATACTTGCAACAAATAACATTTTAATCAACATTAAAATCAGTACGTATTGTATTAAAGCTATATTGTCATTGTAATTGAAGATTATTAAAAGTAAGGAGTGGAATGCAGTTGTGTTTGGCTTGCTCTCTGCAGGTTGATTCTGGGAATGGTGACCCTGGGAAACATGCTTGCCTCTGTGCTTGCAGGAAAGGTCAAGCCCTCTGACCCTGTTATCAAAGTGCTCTATAAACAGTTCAAGCGGGTGAGTGCAATTCTTTTAGAAAGGATAGTTTGAGCTCACTCACTCCATCTGACATTACTTAATCCATTTTTACCTGTTTTAGATTCGTCTGACTGACAATCTGGGAAAGCTGTCTCGGATCTTGGAAACCGATCATTTTGCCCTGGTGGTCCATGAGCAGATACAGTGTGAGTGTTTATCCACACAAGTACTTCAATATGTCAGAATAATGTGCTTTCGATTGTTTTACAAAAATGCATTAGCTATGTTTGCAAGGTAAATTCAGATGTAGGAAAACGTCTCAGGTTACTTATGTAACCATGGTTCCCTGAGTAGGAAACGAGACACTGCATCCTCTAGGGGTCGCTATGGGGAAAGCCTCGTCGTGACCCGTGTCTGAAGCATACATTCAAAAAACACCAACAACATGTTGGCCGGCGACAGCCCATGACATCACTACCGGTGCGACTATAGTATAAATAGGCGCCGGGAGAACACGTCATTCACTTCTTCGTCCGAAGCATGGCAGGAAACCTAGAGGACGCAGTGTCTCGTTCCCTACGCAGGGAACCATGGTTACATAAGTAACCTGAGACGTTCCCTTTCAAGGAAACTTCGAACTGCGTCCTCTAGGGGTCGCTATGGGGAA